ATTTAGGCTTTCACTTTTGAGGAATATTCAAATCACAGTGAGGAAAGTCTTAATTATATGTGAGTTACAGAGAAATTCATTTGTAGTGTTTCTTCAGCTTCATCAATACCCAGTTATTTGAGTCTTCTGTAATACTTTGTTCAACAAATAGTATTTTGTGTGGCTCACACTTCTTTGTTTGAAATAGTAATTTAATCAATTAAGTGTTATTATTTTAAGATATGGGGTGGTTTACAATATAGAAGATTACTGCTGATAAAGCAGGTTGAGAAAGTCAGTACAAGATAGTGCCAAAGTTCAAATTATTGCAACTAGTAGAGTCTTTTCAAAGTTCTAAGTTTAGCATGAATAAATGCCAGTGGATTTAGACTCAGATCTCCATATGGAAGCAGTTGGCCTATTTGTCAGTCAGTGAATTGTGGAGCACATTGATTGGTAGCCCCATTAGGACACATTCAAGTGTTAATTCCCCACATGAAAAAGATGGTACTCAAAGATTGCTAAAGCAACAGATGTCCAAATATGAGTAAGACTCTATTGATTGCTATAGATGGATACATGCTTCTTACAATTCTAAATTTATGGTTCTCATGTTTGGTGTTTCCTAGAAGTGGCCAATGAATAGTTTAGTTTTTCCTAAAAGGTTTATATTAATATGAGGACTCTGCTTTCCCAGGATAGCACAGAATGTCTTTTGAAGTAATAAAATATAAATACTGTGTATTCCTTAAAAACTAAATTGTGGATAGAGATAATGAGAAATGTTTGGTATGATGTTTATGCTTGACTCAGTATTCAAATATGTATTTATTTTGCATGGTTAATATGTTTTTACATGAAACATATTTTCCTAAGATTAAAACCTCTGAAAAAAATCATTAAATATTTAACTTTAATGATATTTTATATTCACTTTTTATTATTTATTTTTTTAAATTTATTGTTAACTTTTTATAAAGACAGGGCAAATATATGCCAATAGTATAATAGTACTAATAATACAAACTAATAGTACAAACTAATAGTACAAATAGTAAAAATTACCTCTATACTTTAAAGATATTTTTAAAGACCTCAAATTTGCAACACCTTTTGAGTATTATTAAATTTGTTGTAAATTTTATTTTCAAACATTAGTATGATTCATATATATGGAAGCAAATAGTTCCTGTGTTATAAAATGGATATAAATAAACCAGGTCAGAACAAGATTGCTCTAAATAATCTATATAAAGTGTCACTTTCATATGACATTCTGAATATAATGAAAATTGACTAGTAGATAAATGTGAAGATGCAGCAAAAAATGACTTTGTGTATGTTCCTTTTATACTTCTTGTGAAATTACAGGTGCTATTAGCAATTTAGAAAGCTTTGAAGTGCCCAGAAGACAATTTTTCTCATCATAGCAAAATTTATTAGCAGATTATTTTTCTCAATTAAGAATAAAGTATTAAAACCAAAATAAAATGTTCATAAATGGACATGCTATATTTGGGGATTATTTTGCAATCGCCAAACAGGATCATTCCTATAGATCTGAAACAGCCTTCAATGAAGAGCACATATTCTCTGTCACCAAAAATTTCCTTAGTGTACCTTTTACTCCACTTCTATATCTAGTATAGAAAATTTAAGACAAGTCACTTTAAAATGTTTTTGCGAATTAAATTGCATTTTGAATGGAACGAACATTGTCATATATCTCATATTTTCTCTGCTTTATTTTGGCTGTTTCTCTTCTGAATTTTCTAGGGATCCTTACAATGCAATTGAAGCAATAGACCCAGAGAAACTGAATGTCTTTCGGACAGTCAGAGAGATAACAGGTAACTTTAGAAGTGTGATTGAATTGGGATCAACATGGATTTCAGTGTTTTCTTGAAAGTATAACATAATTTTGAAATCAGCAAATCATTTTCAAAGCAAATTCCAGTTTAAAAAAAGTATGTCATTTAATTTCTGTGATTGAATTTTTAATTGAGGTAGCATAATTTTACAACACAGTATATAACATAGAGCTCTAGTTTCACACCTTTTCAGATATCGCACTGCACCACACCCACACTCCTTATTTGTGCCCATTTTGAAAGCCAGTGAAATTTAAAAACAATACCTTAATTTTTTTTTTTTAAGATTTATTTATTTATACATGAACCAGGGTATAGGCCAGATGTGCAGGAGAGTGAGAGATTCACCAGAAACAGAGCGGGGAACAGAATAGGCAGACTGATGAAATACACTGCTGAGAAGAGCAGCAGGCTAGCCAGGAGAGGTCTGCCATGCCATGTGGGTATCTCTGCAGCCAGCAGGGATTGAACTGGCACTGCAGAGGGTGCAGAGAGCTTCACAGCGCTGCGCTCAACCACCTGTGCCACCAGTGAGGCCCTACCTTAAAATTTGATGTTACTGGTTTTTGGAATTGTGAAGTTTTCCTTGAATACATGTTTTTCTATTTACTTTTTTTACAAAAACTACTATTGAGCATGGGTAACATTTA